GAAACATTCCCAAGAAGTGTAGATTCAAGTTTGTACAAATCATGACCCCATATGTTAGGGAGGGGCCATTTTTTTCCTGCCCCTATTTGCTATCCACATGGAAATGCAATTTTAAAACCATTTTACACATCCAGGACAAAATCAATCATCTTCCAAATGATCATGATTTAAGGCTAGTGCATAAAATATAAGGGAAGTTCTGGGAACCAGGATGTTTAAACATGTTAAATATTTTTTAAAAAAATTTGACCCCCATTTGACCCCCAGGGGGAAAATAAGAATTCCGAAACCTTACTGCACATCTATAGGACACCACCAACCATCTCCCAAAAGATGATTAGGCTACTGTGTAAAATGTAAGAGGAGTTTAGGGAACCAGGGGCTTTTTGCTTAAAAAACATCATTTTTCGACCCCCATTTGACCCCCAGGGTGAAAATGAAAATTCCGAAACCTTACTGCACATCTACATGACACCACCAACCATCTCCAAAAAGATGATTAGGCTACTGTGTAAAATGTAAGAGAAGTTCAGGGAACCAGGGGCTTTTTGCCTAAAAAACGTCATTTTTTGACCCTCATTTGACCCCCAGGGTGAAAATGAAAATCTGAAACCTTACTGCACATCAACATGACACCACCAACCATCTCCCAAAAGACGATTAGGCTACTGTGTAAAATGTAAGAGGAGTTCAAGGAACCAGGGGCTTTTTGCATAAAAAACGTCATTTTTTGACCCCCATTTGACCCCCAGGGTGAAAATGAAAATCCGAAACCTTACTGCACATCTACATGACACCACCAACCATCTCCCAAAAGATGATTAGGCTACTGTGTAAAATGTAAGAGGAGTTCAGGGAACCAGGGGCTTTTTGCATAAAAAACGTCATTTTTCGACCCCCATTTGACCCCCAGGGTGAAAATGAAAATTCCGAAACCTTACTGCACATCTGCAGGACACCACCAACCATCCCTCAAAAGATGATTAGGCTACTGTGTAAAATGTAAGAGGAGTTCAGGGAACCAGGGGCTTTTTGCCTAAAAAACGTCATTTTTCGACCCCCATTTGACCCCCAGGGTGAAAATGAAAATTCCGAAACCTTACTGCACATCTACAGGACACCACCAACCATCTCCCAAAAGACGATTAGGCTACTGTGTAAAATGTAAGAGGAGTTCAGGGAACCAGGGGCTTTTTGCACAAAAAACGTCATTTTTCGACCCCCATTTGACCCCCAGGGTGAAAATGAAAATTCCGAAACCTTACTGCACATCTACAGGACACCACCAACCATCTCCCAAAAGACGATTAGGCTACTGTGTAAAATGTAAGAGGAGTTCAGGGAACCAGGGGCTTTTTGCACAAAAAACGTCATTTTTCGACCCCCATTTGACCCCCAGGGTGAAAATGAAAATTCCGAAACCTTACTGCACATCTACATGACACCACCAAACATCTCCCAAAAGATGATTAGGCTACTGTGTAGAATGTAAGAGGAGTTTGAGAAATAAGAGTGTGACAGACGGACGGACGGACGGACGGACAGACATGAGTAACAACAATATACCCGAACTTTCTTTAGTGCGGGTATAACAAACTAACTGCATGATTATGATTTGCAAGGACGTCTCTTTTAAAATTGAAATTCATGGCCCCTGGGTAAGAAGTCTTGTGTTAGCAGTTCTCTATTGATAATATAGTAAAAATGCATTTATTCTTTGAAAATATGTGCTTCCGGGTATTCAGCAGAAAAACTCAATGCATGGTTATGATGAACAAGGGTGCCTCTTTCCAAAATTTTGATTTTATTGCCCCTAGGTCAGGAGGTATTTTTGGGCTCTGTTGATCACATGGTAAAAATGCATAAATTCTTCAGAAATTTTTTTTACTTTGCCCCATGGTATTTAGCAAACAATGCATGGGTATTAGTGAGCTAGGATTCCTCCTCTAAAATTATGAAATTCATGGCCCTCGAGTCAGGGGTTTTGTTTTTAGGATGGACTCTATAGATCCTATAGTAAAATTGCATTATTTCTTTAAAACCTGGTCCTTGACTCAGGGGTTTTGTTTTTAGGACGGACTCTAGTAAATTTGCATTATTTCTTTAAAACCTTCTTCTCCTCTCCTGGGTATTAAGCAAACAAACTAAGTGCAAGATTTTAATGAGCAAGGGTGCATCTTCCAAAATTATGAAATTAATTGCCCTTTTTAAACTGAGGCAGGCTACTGATAGATGAGTTGATGTTACAGAGATTTCAACTACCTCGTTTTAAGTCAGCATTTCGTAAATTCTATGGTGGTTATAATAACCTTGTTAGCAAATATTACCTATCATTGGTCATGTTTTAGCTGACTTGTTTCAAACCAATTGTATGACCTTTGTTTTTATAATGAATTTGACATTGGTTCCGTCCCCTGATCAATACTTAGGGCTCATGGAGGGTGTGACTGGTCAACAGGGGATGCTTACTCCTCTTAGGCACCTGATCCCACCTGGTATTTCCAGGGTCCTTGTTAATGCCCTCTTCACAGCTCTGTGTTGTTTATGGATGTTTTTAGATCGATCACTTTTTTTTATTTTCACATTTTCACTGTGAAATTCATGGCCCCTGGGTTAGGAGTTCTGGTGTTATGCCTGTACTCTGTTATTTATGTAGTAAATATGCATACATTCCTAAAAAAAATTTGTTTCTCTGGTTATTTAGCAAACTAACTTTGTGCCAAGTTATGATGATTCATTTAATTTGTGAAATTCATAGACCTTGGATTTGGGTTTCTAATTTTAGGATGGGGCTTTATTAATCATATAGTGAAAATGCATAAATTCTTCAAAAATCTTCTCTGCCTCTAGATATTTAAAAGTAGACAAAATAATTTCATGCTTATGATGATCAAGGATGCCTCTTCTGATAATGTGAAATCCATGGCCTCTGGGTTAGATGTTCTGCAAGTGGACGGGGCTCTACTAATATCAATTATATAGTGAAAAAGCATTAGTATATTAGCCCTGGCAAGTACAGGCAGGTAATAAATATGATTATTATGTTCAGTTATTGAGTACTGAGTACTAGACTTACTATTTTGCTGATCCCTAATCATCTTATTTCTCATGATTTTTGGCAATATATCTTCACCCATAAGTTTTTGTGAAACCATGTTACCAAATCCTTGGGACCAAACTTTTTTCCCATATATTTTGTTAGAACTTAGTGGAACATTGAGGTAAGCGTATCAGGAAACCTAACAGGCTTTTCATAAAACTTCATCATTAAAATGTATCCTAGTTTCAAAACATGAAAATGGATAGATCACAAAATGGCAGATGAATTAATTTTTCACAATATTTGCAGAGATCCCTTTAATGGTAATAATTCTTGCAAGATGGCAATAATTTTGATATTAATTGCTACACATATTTTAAAAATTTTCTAAGGGTTCATTTTTTGTCTACACCGTTCATGTGCTCCTTTAGAACTTGTTGCCTGTACTGGATGTCTGTAGGAAGTATCTCCAAGATGTAAGTAAAATTAAAACATTCATGTAAACAAGACATTATACTTCCATTATTGATTTTCCTAGGGAAATATGAGAGTAAAACACATTTTAAATAAGAAAAATATATTGCAGGGTTATAATATGAATTCCACCAGACAAATAATGAATTGATCTTGAAGTCTCTTAATTCTTAGTTGTTTTTTTTTCTCCATCAAGAATTCCATGAAGATTTATTTGGACAAGTGGCAGAAGAGAAGGACGTGGCTGGTGTTACAAGTAAACTGTTTGAGGTCAGGTCCATGAAGAGTACGACTCGTACAAAATACTGGCTCAGGTCATCAGTAAAGAATCCCTCATGGCATTCATCACACCACTCAAAGAGGTGAGGCAGTGTCATATTTTAGATTTGCAGAAATTTAATATGCACTTTGAAGGCATTTAACCCCACTGCATTTTCAGTAAAATTTGGTATCCGAAGCAGGCTACATCAAGATGATTCTTTTTTACTGTTTTTTTTTTTATTTCAATGATTGTTGTAGCCAGGATTCTCAATTGTCTGTAAAAACACATTCACTGAATGGTTTGTACAGAATGTTTATTTGTTTGTTGTTTAACTTTCCTCATGAAAATTCTTTACACATATAGAGACCCACCACTTGCCCGTGGAGAGCAGTAAATTTTGACCTACACTCGACACACAGGGCCATTGAACAGTTGCGGGTCTTTTTGTGTCAAGACCTATTGCGACACGGGATCTTGGTTATACAAACCAGTCTCCACGTCCCTCAGTGAATTTGAACCCACGACGTAAGGATCCGCTCCTTACTCCGCGATACTAGAGCTGATACTCTAACCACTGCGCCACGAGGGCAAATACCGGTATTGTATAGGATTCCAATAATTATATAACATGCCTGGATTTATGATGCCATTGTTTAACAATATTTTTATACTACTGATAAAAAGTAATTCAAAAGTTTGAACAAATGAATAAATTATTTCTAGAATTCATACTAGTGCATGTAATTATGTTTACATATGTATGAAATACCTGTCCATTATATTAGTCTTTGTATGATACCATCACAATATATATCATGCAACAAAAAAATCAGGATATATTAGCAAATCAATAAATTCACCCCTTACTAATTTTAAAATATTGTGAAAATGTTTTCAGTACCTGTAAATTAATTGTGAATGAAAATATGGCATTGGTCTGATAATAAAAATTTGTAAATCTGTACAATAAATCTGGAAATTTTTACTCTCTAAATATTTTGCAATTTTGTGCATGCACTGCATTTGCAAAAAATATTTTTTGTAAAAATAAAACAAGAAATAAAAGTCAATTACATTTTATAAATCTAAATGAATTTTGAATTACATTTGAATGTAACTCACTGCAACTCTCACTTTTACCACAGGTATTTCCTGTCCAACCCTGTCGGACTTTGAGGTTCATAAATCATCTCAGATTATTTGGCTGCATGAACACATGATCTTTTATTCCATATACTTAATTCGTTTCACTCTATAGTTATCAGCAGCATACAGTATGTCATTGCTGTCTGTACTGAGACCACGTAGGTTGTGTAAATCACAGTTGTCTATGTACAAAAGGAATTGTCCATTCTGGTCAATGATGTATATAATGTTACTAGCTAAGTCAGCAATCAGGATGTGACACATGCTGTCTGTAGTAATGGCATTTGGAGTAAAGTTTTTGTACATCATTCCTTTGTAGATAAACCTGTTTTTTCCTTCGTTGTTCAACACTAAAACTGAATTTGGCTCACTCAGTACAATGTCAAGATTCTTGTTTTCATCAATACAGCGCACAAATATTGAAAGTATACCCACGTGCAGGTCACTTAATTTTATTTCTTGTATGACTGTCAAGCCAGAATAACGGACAACTTTTCTATGCTGGATCCATCTTGTGTTATGTGGGGATGTCATAAGTACTAAGAGGTCATCAGTATAAGTGCTGCAGATAGCATCTAGTACCCATAAATGTTCTTTGAGCAGACATTTTATCTTATTCCCCTCCACTATGTTAATTTCTCCCCTCCCCTTGTCAATATACACTAGATGTCCCTCTCTGGTGACTGTCAGAGCATATCCTGCAATATTCTCTGTCTTAGTGGTGATCTTCCTCAGCACTTCCCCCTCTTTGTTCATATGTTTAGTTATTCCATTGACACCACGGACATAGAAGTGATCTGTGTGAGGAATACAAGCTACTTCACAAATTTCTTCATCAGTTTTTATTTCTCCTACTGTAAGTGGCAAATCAAGAAACTTCTTGATAGCTTTTTCTGAACTGGAATAAGAATGGGGAGCTTTTAGGACCTGTCCTTCAATGCTAGTTTTCACTGTTTCTGGAATGTCTCCAACTATCTTACACAGTGCCTGCTCTGTAAGTTCTGTGGGAGTGAATTCTGGCACTGTTAGTTCAAATCTGGAATGAATAGTTCTGAACTTTTCATTTTCTGAATTGTAGTTGACAAGTTTAAACGGATCATTTGAAGCAAGGATAGAATTGTTTTCATCCATTGCCGATTGAATTAATAAATAGCGTTTTTTGAAATCTGCTTCCAGGTTCTTAATTGCATTAATGTCATCTCTTTCCAGTCTTCTTGCATAACTCTGATATTTTTTAATAACTTTATCTACCAACTTGTGCCATGTTTTACCAATTTCATCAATGGTTCTTTGTCTTTCATTGTGTTTCTGTTCAATGCTTGATGACATCTCTTTTACATTGGCGAGTATTGATTCATAAACAGGTGCTACACTAGTTTCAAGCTCATTTAAGTCTTTTTTGATAAGTTTCTGTTTAGAGCTATAAATTTCAGAAATATGTGGTACATTGTGATTTTCATGGGATCCAGAGGCTAGACATTTCTGACATATTGGGGATTTACATTGTTCACAGAACATTTCACATTGTTTTTCATTATGGACCCTGCATTGTGGTGGAATGATTTCAGATTTTTTGAATTCAAAAGTGACGACATCATGTCTGATGGAGGGATTGGAGATCATGTGGTGACCTACACAGTCCTTACAGAGATCAACATGACATGTATTACACACAATTTCTGCAGCATGTTTTCTATCTTTTCCGGGGCAAAGTTGACAGCGTTTTACATCTTGTGCCCTGTTATCGGAATCTGATGATGTTGCCATGTTGCTCTAATTAAGGAGTTTTTTTTTGTACCTTTGCCAACAATGAAAATGTACACCTTTATCATTTTGCCTTACTAAATAAAATTGGCATACAAAATATATATTTTTCAAATCAACAAGAAAGCACAGTAAAGAAAATTACATGGGAATAATTTAATTATATTAATAACACATGAATTAAGGACAGCGGACCTAATTCGAAATTTCGAGCCACTGCGCAGAAAATCGCGCATATGCCTTGAATCAAATTTACTTATGTATTGCAAAAGATAAAAAAAATTATATATATATTTTTAATTCTTTTAAAGATATTCAAACGTTTCCTCTCAATTAAAAATATTGTAAATATTTTGATTTACATTCAATTGTTAATTTTATGAATAAATGATTTATTTGGCTAAGATATTTTCATTGAAAATTTCCCCCAAAGTGTTACCTACACCTGCGTTTGACATGCTCCACTGAAAAATCTAAGCCGATGACCTATTTATTTTTTGGCATAATTAGCTGGTAAATTGTCTATTTAACATTGTCCTTATATATGAATAAAAATTCTATCGCAGAATCTCTTTTCAGTGGTCACTCTTTACCCTACACAGGCAATTTCCCATTACTTCCTATAGTAATTATCGATTTCCATCGCCAACTTTTTAGACGCTCCCCATTAAAAATCTACATCGATGACCATATGATTTTTTCATTGATTTTAACTCACCAGAAGTCATTTTACCTCATATTAAAATTTGAATGAAAAATATATTGCAGAAATGAATTAGGTCCGTCGTCGTTAAGCTGTAATTGTCTTACCTGTTAAAGTTTTATGAAAAACATGGCGTCTAGTTTGTATGTTGAGATAATCAATGATCCAGGTGCGTGCTTACTATGCTCTCTCTAGTATGCATTGATTTAAATGTCTACCTGTGATACTGACACTGGGTCTGCATAATTACCAAGTTTACTTCTAAAGAAGGAAATGTGTAATAAAATTTCCTTACTACGGTGATTTTGATATATAGTTGTTCCTTTCCTTCATTGTATGCATGTACATGTTAGCAAATTAATAAAACATATAAAATACATTTGCAGTAGTTTTTCAGATTTTACATTTTGAAAATTGTACATTTTGAAACTTGTAATAAATTTCCTATTTATGAATATTAAAGAGGTATTTGAAAACATCTTGTAAAGGCATTAATTATTTTTTGCTGGTCTTACCTTCTCAATAAAAAAAAAAAAAATAATTTTGTTTTATAAAAATTAGCTTTAATACAGAAAACTTAAATTGCTGAGCATCGAAAAATAGTAGGGATGGCAGTTTGTAACCGGTTAACCGATTACTCGGTCGGAACGATGGTAATCGGTTCTTACCAATTACTCAGTCGGAATGATGGTAATCAGTTAGAAAATCTGTAATCGGTTAGTCGGGGAAAAAATAAAATATTCCCAAATTAAAACGCACTTTTTAAAAATATACTTTTATAAGAGGAACCTCTGCATAAATGTTGATAATTTACCGTTTTCACATACATGTATCTATTTGAGCTGATTTGGAGGTAATTATGGCTTGCCGGATTGAGATAGCGGGGTAATTGGTCAGTTGAGAGGAGTTAATTACTGTTTAAACACCCATGTCGCTACTCCGACTGTCCTGTTATTCTTTAATTATATTATAATTAAAAAATCACCTTTGAGCACTGTGAATTGATACGTCTTTCTTTTACAGTTTTCCAACAAATTATATTATTAGACAAACATAGTAAATTAGTGAAAGTTCAGACTTAGTTTTGATTATTGTTACAATGCAGTATGAACTAGTGTGACATCTGCTCTGGAAAACTATCAATGTCTGATTTCTCAGGGATGTTTCATGGATTTTCTTAACTTCTTCTTGTCTATTAAAATGGAAATAAAATATATGTAAATATAGTTTCCTGATCAAGGTAAACAGAATATTGCTAACTTCTTACTTAATTCTTTTTTAGTCTTATTGTGTTTATATGAAGAAAGGTTCTTAGGAAAATAAAATATATGTCATGAAAATGAAATATATGGAGATAACGAACAGTATTCAAGCTCAAAAGTCCATTAAACAATACAAAATAGGAGCAGAGCAAACACGGACCTCTAAACATCAGAGGTGGGATCAGGTGCCATGGAGGAGTGAGCATCCCCTGCCGACCGGTCACACCCGCTGTGTGCTCCTTGTCCTGATCGGGAAAAAACGGAAAAATCCGTTGACAATTCAGTGTGTAAATAATGGCCTAACAAGCAGTATGAAAAACGTCAGTCAGCATTTGACCCAATGATAGATTGTATTTGCTGACAAGGTCATTGTATCGACCATAGAACTTACGAAATAATGACTTTAAACGAGACAGCTGATATTCGTGTTTCATCAACTTGTTTGTCAATAATTTACCTCGTTTTAGAAATTGTTCAAACGTAGAGCATGCTCTTGCGTATCGAATCAACTGAGAGATATATACCCCGTATGCAGGTGATGAAGGTATATTGCTGCATAAGTAAGGGAAGTTGACGATTGAAAAGTTAAAGTCATCACGTTTATCATAAAGCTTGGTTGTTAGATTACCATTAACGTCTTTTTCAAGTAAAATATCCAAATATGAAACAGATGTGTCAGACTCTGTGGTATCTTTTATCTCAAGCTCACCAGGATACATCGTATCGACATAAGAATGAAAATAGCCATTGTTAATTGACAATACATCGTCGATATATCTAAATGTCGAATTGAAGGCCACAGCAAGTGTTTTCTTCTTTTCACGTACAAGATTTTGGACAAATTCTGCTTCATATGAATACAAAAAAGGTCTGCTAATAACGGTTTTTGATACGATTAACCGGTTAATCGGTCGGAACGTATTGCGGTTAACCGATTAGTAATTCTGTATTCGATTGCCATCCCTAAAAAATAGTATTTTTAAATTGTAATTTTTATCACATATAACATAAAATCTTAATTTACATTAATTTTGTTTTAATTAGTAAATATTAACCTGTTAAATAAATATGTTTTAATTCTGTACATGTTCTTTAAAATAGGGGAAACATGAGAAAAGAGGTAAAGAACAAGGTCTCCTTTTGACCTTTTAAAATTAAGAGTTATACAGTACTGTCTGCATTGAGCTTGTCAGCATAAATGTTTTTTAATCGAAAAGGTATATTAAGTGTGATTGGTCAATCAATATCCTGCATTGATCCAGGCATTTGATTGTGATGATATTGTTTTTAAGCTGCAGTAGACAAGTTATGGATACATAGATGTTTGAAAAGTTTTGAAGATTCAGAATCTCTCATGAAAATCCTTTTTATGTTTCTGAGAAAAATCTCCCTTGATAATCATGTTTTGGAAACTCAAAGAGAAGGTCAGTACATTGTAATAGGTTTAATACCTTACCTTAATTCTCTCTGTGCCAGAAGGCACACAAGGCCTGAACATCCCTCTTCCACTGGGGCTGGTCCGAGGCTGCACGGCTTGCCGTGTTCCATGACTTCCAGCATGCATCATTCCATTCCACCTCAACCATCTGCCGCCATGTTGCCTTGGGGAGGCCTCGCTTCCTTCTCCCCTCAGGTGTCCACCCGAGGGCCACAACTTAGTCATCTGTTGGATCCTTCCTCAGCACATGGCTGATCCAATTCCATCTCCTCCTTCTCACCTCGCCACTGATGTATTCTGCTCCTGCCATCTCCAGAACTGTCCTGTTTGGGATATGCTGCTGCCATCTGACCTTGAGAATCCTTCTGAGGCACTTGGTCTGCATTAAATTGTTACCTTTCTTTTCGGACACCCTGTACATGTATATGTCTAACTTAGAATAATTAATATATGTCCTGTGTACATTTCAGAAAAATTCAACCACTGACATAGAATTCATCTGTGTAAGGAATACATGCTATTTCATGAATTACTTCATCTGTATTTATATATCCTATATAAATCGGCGAATCAAGAAACTTTCTGTTTGGTTTTTCAAACTTGGACATTGGCTTTGGAGCTTTAGGGACCTGTCCCTGAATACCAGTTTTGACTGTGTCTGGAATGTCTCCAATTATCTGACAAAATACTCGCTCTGTAAGTTCTGTGGGATTGAATTTAAGTACTGTTAAGTCAAATTTTGGAGGAACATTTCTGAATTTTTCATGTTTGGAAGTGTAGTTGGCAAGCTTGGATGAATCATTCGAAGCAAGGATAGATTGGTTTTCAACAATTGCTGATTGAATTAGCAAGTGAAGTTTATGGAACTCTGATTTCAAGCCCTGAATAGAGTTAAGATATTCACTTTCCATCTTCCTTGGATCACTCGGTTACTTTTTAATGACATTGTCTACTATTTTGTGATATTTTTTACCAAGCTCATTTATAGTTTGTTGTCTTTCTGAGTACTTTTCAACAATGCTTGATGACATTGCTCCTTTTTCAAACAGAATTGATTTATACACCGGTTCAAATAAGTCTTTTCTGACGAGCTCTTGCTTAGGGCTATAAGATTTAAATATGTGTGGTATACAATGTGATTTTCATGGGATCCAGAAACAAAGCCTCACGGACAAACTGGAGAATAACACTGTTGACAATATTTCACATTTTTGTTCTTTATGGATGTTGCACTTAGGAATAATGACCTCAGACTTTTTGAATTCAAAAGTAACATGTTTAGTGTCTGGGATGGAAATCACATGGTGACTTACACAATCCTGACAGAGAGGTACATTGCATTCGTTACGTACAATTTTGCGTCAGACGTGTGTCTTTACCAAGGCAAAGTTGACAGCTTTTCACATTTTCTTTTCTTTCTTATGGATCTGTTAATGCTGCCATGTTGCTTTTATGAAGGGATTTATTCTGCCTGTATCGACAATGAAAAATAAGAGACCAATGAACCACAACGCACGCCTGAGTCACATTGGCCCTACTGTTCTTCAGAACATTGGCCCAAGAGCATCTCTGAAACAGACTTGAATCTACATTTCCAGGG